ATGAGCATCCTTAGAACTCGGTCAATCATAGTCGAGTAAGAATAAATGTACATATTAACAATATTTTCACTTCAATAAGAACTGAAAAATACTTTCATACTGCTATGGTATTGAAATTTGACCAAAATACCACGTTTCACACTGCTAACATGTTCTTTTAAGTTATTCACCTATTACCTTAACATTTGAGATGAAAAAATAAGAATTCACCATAGAATTAAACAAACCAATTAAATTGATCAGAAAAATAACAAACAGGGAATAATCATTAACGCTGACCCAATGATTCATCCAATGAAATCATAAAACTGTTCAACCTCTCCAAGAGTCTTCAACGATGACCTTAATGCTCTTTTTTCTTCCCCTCGCATTTACCCCCACCGTTCACATCCCACGTATCAATCATTTCCGCCAAAGCATACAGCACAGCACGCTTTTAACCGAATTCCTCGCCGAGTCAAACTCCGCACCCTCCAACTTGCTCAGTTGCTCCCGAACTCACCCAACACATACCTTGCCCCGCAGCCACCACACATTTAAGCAAGTACAACTCATTTTCATTCAAACTCTCTCCTTCCAAAACCCTCGCAAAATGACTCCTCCTAGAATCAAAAAATGACTTAACCCGAGAATCCGACTCCATCGCATTCTCCTTCAATGTTCCGCAAACATAAAGTTTTGATTTCAGATACTTGAATCTGGCAATTTCTTTTTGAAAATTAAACTCCGGTGCCGGTGCCGGTGCCGGTGCCGGTGCTGCCTACTCTACTGGTGCCACACAGAGTTATACCTTTAGTTTGTGTGTGTTTTTACTGGAAATGTTGAATCAAAGCGGCAGGATAAGACGAGATGCTTGAAGCATATACCAAGATTGGGCTAAGATAATGTAAACTATTCAAATTATAGACGAACCTTAAAGTAAACTCCCTATTCATTAGATAGAGATGATAACCAAGATTTCGTGATTCGAACTTATTCCAATTCCAACAGCGGTGAAATCTCGATTGGATTATAAAATTTTAATTTGTCTATATTTAACTTGGGAGCAATCTTTTTTTTTTTTTTTTCATTGGGATCTGTGCATTCTATGCTTAAAGCATGTTTTTAATGCGTTATTGTTTTGCGCGGGTTATCGTTTACAATTAAAAAGAGATTCAGACGATTGTGTAAGAAATAAACCTCTTGAGACAAAGTTCTAAAAATTGATGTTTTATTGATGAAGATTACAATTGGAAATAAACAGAATGCCTCCAAATGGCGCAAAAACACGAGTACTAAAAAGAGATCTTTTAAAGTTAAACTAAGAAATTGATATTACATATTCTCTGTTGAGAGTGTTTGATTCAGGATCCTTTTCTCTATATCTTCTTTTCCTTTTTATACTCCGTTGATAATTTCTTTGTGAAAAACTGTTTGGAAACTGTTTGATGCTCTATAACTATCAACTTTCTTCATGATGGCTGACTTGTCATGGAATTGTCGTCTCTAACTGTTGCCATTACTCTTGTCGTTTAACTGCCTACAACCGAGATTTTTGGATCGTGGGGTGTGATAAGGTTGCTCAATAACTGATGTACTGGATAACCATAATACCTTATATTCGCTCAATTCCTGGGCGACTCGAGGGTTTGGGCGAGAATGGGATCATCGCTCTGAGCGATCGTAAGGCACTCTATTCGCTCAAATCCTGGGCGTCTTGCAAATTTGGACGATGATGTTACTTTGTTCGTAGGCCTCCACTGCATTCATTAATGGTTCTATTTGGACTTTCATCCTGAATTTCTCAATTAACTTCATTCTTTGAACTATTCAATTTGGGCTACACTTTTTGTATGTCAACAATTATCTAACGTAGCTTGATGTTAAATTGGCGCGATATAGAATGATTGCTTGAAATGTGGATACCAGCAAAATAATTTGTGCCAGTTTTTTCTATGGCAAGAGACGAAATGTGACGAGATAGTTACATTTGTGACTAGTGAGTTAATTGAAAGGATGCTGAAAGCTCTATGACAGCTAATGATGTTCAACTCAAAGAATTGAGGATTCTCTACATTTTCTGTTTCCAATTTTTTCTTCAATTTGTTGTATATCATGATAAAAAGGTTCTCGTAAGACGGCTTTACTTACTTTTATAGTAGTGTGTTGATGACTAAAAAATGCCGTGGCAAACTTGGACCAATTTGATGAAAATTTGATAAGAGTATTTGCTGGAAGTATATGAAAATAATCGATTAATTATATTGAAAGACGTTGGTATGAGTTTATTTGGTCAATACATGAACTGTCTTAGGAGGGGACTATTTGTCCCTATTTATAGACCGAAAGACTATACAACTTGTCTGTCTAATGTCATTTCAACTATAATGCTGACCTAAAAATGTGTGCCACCATCCACGGTTTGGGACTTCTGATTGGTTGTTGAGGTCGATCACTCAAGTCATCATGATGCCTATGTTGCAGCAGTAGCTTAGGTAATGATTACTTGATGTTGGATAATCATTGATATTTTGTGATTGGTCAAAATTAAGGTGTTGATGTCATCTGCTCCACTTGCCAGTATGGGAGTGGTCAATAGTTAGGTAGGGGCAACTTGTCAATGATCGTAAATCATCATATTTCTTTTCAATTATGATGGCCATTGTTCTTTTGAGTGTCCAACCTTCATTCGTTTTAACACCAATTCTTTAATCTCTTCTTAACAGGATCCTAGATCGGACACCAACACGTTTGAAGCAAGAATTGTAGACATAGCAAAGAAGGAGGTGCCATTACGTTCAAACGGTAGACTCAGCGTATATGTCCAAAAATTATCCACTTGTGATTACGTTATCTAAAAGCTGGTGTCTTTTTTAGAGTTTCGACCTCTCGAAATGACCCATGTAAGTATAATTCTTCCATCTTTATGTGATTTCATAGCTACCAAACGGAACGTCTTTAGTTTTTGTACTCAATGCACTTGACATAATTCAAGTCTATATTTTCTCTCTATTGCGATATCTTGTAACTTCATCCTTATCCTTTGTTCCGAGATAATTGTATAAATTATTGATCAGTGCAAATGGATACTCCCCAATTACACTCGACTTCCCATTCAACCTAGAAGCATAGATGTTGACACAACACAACATGAACTCTCCAACGCATGATTTTTCAAGAAGTTCGACATGACACGTTAGGGACATGTCAATTTAAATTCTTCAAATTTTTACATTTTCACTTTATACTTTTTATTATAGTAAACAACAAGCGGCATGTCCAAAGAGCTTACTTAGCCCCTGTTTGGCTCTCATTACTTCTCATTAAATTATAAGTTATTTTTCTATCTCTTCTTATCAACCATACATTTTCAAATAAAATATTATTACACGTAAACCCAAAAATTTTTCTTTCTTTTTGAACCACACATTCTCCAAAAAATTACTATTATTCTCATTATAATGTGGAATAATGGGACCAAACGGGGCGCTTAAAATATTCTCCAAGTGTCGAAAATGTAAAAAATATAAATAAAAATAGGACATATCACATTGGTTGTCGGACATATATCTTACAATGTTTGAAGAATGTTGGAATCCAACATGACATACACATGACGGTTGACAGACACCAATATGCTACCCTAATATATAAGTATTCACGCTTCGTAGCATGCAGCTAACCTATGCTTCTCAAAGCCTTCACATTTTTATATTTTAGTAATTCTATAAATCTTAACCACCAATTCGAACCTTCTTGTTCCATTATTATGCCTCCTTACTAGGTCAACTTCTATGCTCGTAGGCAATCGATTCCACATTACAAAAAAAAAAAAGATTGAAACTCATCCTTGATGGCCCTCCACCGCTCCGCCCCTAGAGCATTGTGAAGGAGGTAAATCGCGAGATGTATCTCAACAGGTCAAGGTACAAAAGCTGTCATACTGGTGCCTACAAAAAAGTCCAATTCCATACCGTGTAAGAGGCAGGAATCGAACCATCACACTGCGGCTGGCAGCTCATCCGAAACTACCTTACTCCAATTCCACATTATATTATTATCTTCTATATAGCAGTTCTCTTCCTTCAAAACTGTTACGAAATCTCATTTCTATTTCACCTGGAAAGTTCCACCATATCGTTCTAAAAACTTGAACCTCTTTGGTCACTTATCATTCTTAATGATCATATCTAGCATCATCAACCAATATTACACAATTAGAATATCACTTCAAATACAAAGCCTAGTCTATCCTAATGAAGTACATGTTCGCCAACATCAAATCATAAATTATCCGAAGTTTATGTTACCTTCTTTACTTCGATCCCCAGAAGTTGTAATTTTCATGCACTCTTTGCATATCACTTGTCGACTTTCACCATGTTGCTTTCAAATCTCTTCAAAAAAGATCTTATCAGTGACTAGGGACTACAAAACGCAAACATGTCTTCCAAAAAAATATTCCTTTTTCCAAACTAATCGAGAAAGCATGTCAAGAAGATAAGCGCTCATGAAAAGATTCCAAGGACGATGTTCACTTTCACCATGTCGCTCTCAAATCTCTTCGAACAAAGATCTTATCATGACTAGGGACTACAAAACACAACTATGTCGTCCAAAAAATTATTCCTTTTCCCAAGTTAATCCAGAAAGCATGTCAAGAAAATAAGTGTTAACGAAAAGATTCCAAGGGCGACGTTCATTAAAAATTAAACTTCATACCCCACTCACCAAAAAATAGGATACAGTGTACACCGCAGATAAATTTAAAATTAAAAATTCAATTATCGAGCAATTTGAAATAAAGGTCAAAAATACCTTTGCTAAAACCTTGGTAATCTTATTTATTTGTAAAGGCGAATCACAAAATTGCCTAAAATTAAAATTACAAATCTTGAAATGGCCTAAATTGGCTGGTTAGGTGAGTAGGAAAATTTCTCTCATTTACCTTGCACAGGAGTCCTTGAGTTCAATTCAATGTAATTGGATATCAAGAAAAGGACAAAATTAACGAACAGGTATTATAGTGGAGAAGAGAAGCTAAACTGCACACCAGTCTTCCCTTGGTCATGTTCGTGTTGTTTCAGTATGTAACAGTAGTTAACCTGATGATAATGGATCAAGCTGTCAGAGATATTACACAAGTACTTAAACATATAATGAAGACAGAATACATCCTTCTTGGGACTACAAAAGTTGGCTCCCAAGCGGGTTATAAATTGTCCTGGTTTCAATCCGTATTTCTTCCGGAAAAATAAAATATGAATTTAAAGTTTTCTAAGTTCTTTTGCTGCTTATTTATGGATCTTAGTCAATTTATTAGCCATTTGTCTGAAGTACTTATCGACTATTTAAGGTGCAAAAGACATCAACATTGCCACTTGAATATCATTTACAATCTTTATTATCAGAAAGGAGCTGGTCTCGTGAATGTTCAAGGAAAATCAATATCCAAAAAAATTGAAAATTTACTCTCTGCTGGACCTCAAGACATGAAAACTGACACTTCCATGAAATTCTGAAGGCTAAAATCTAGAGATATTTATAAATTTATTGATTATCTCCCTTTTCCGTTTTAATCTTTTAAACTGCAGATAAAGCATTTTCTTACAGATAAAAGATGGCCCATGTAGGAACGAATTATCCTACCAACTGGTGGTTTGAGGCAACGTCATGCAGCATGGGCATGTCTTTCTTTTACCAAAGTCAACATAAACAAACAATTTAGTAATTAGTTTCAGGGAAAATGACTGACCTCCATGCGGAATAGCTTGGTGGGTACAATGATACCAAATCCTGCAGAGCATCGAAAGGATTCTCTTAATTTCTGTAACGACAATTCTCGATATGCATTCTCAGTTAATTTAGTCAGGCTTCCTGTGCAGGCAAAAGCATGGCCATGGATACCAGCTTCTCTAAGCACCCTCAAGGGAAGATCAAAAGACAAGTCTGCAAAAGCCGTGACAGCAAGGTCTCCTCCAATAAAATCCACTCCAGTAGAGGCATCAGAGCTTTCATTATTAGAGTTTCCCCTTTCTTGCCTTCGAGGCTCGGCAGGGCCTAGTCCCCTTGCCTTGAAACCTAAAATTGATGTTGAGCCTCTCAAGGTGCAAACTGGAGAAGCATTACCACCCAAGAAGAACCTCTCAGGTAAATATGAAGGTGTATTCAAGAATCCTCTCCCCCATGGGAAAATAAAACCACCTGAGATTCCAAAGTTCAAAGCAGCATGGTAAAATCCCAAGGGAACAGCATAACGAAGATCAAATTCCTGTTCAGAAAATACCAAGCATCAAATTAAATAAAATAAGTTATATACATGGTCATAGAGGGGCACGAACGTTATCAATCACACTAGGATGTCTTCCAACATCACATGCATATTGGCTAGTAATTGCATCATATATTCTAGAGTGGAAGACATTTGGAAGCTCATGGAGTCAACAATAATACATGCGTGTGTGTGCTGTAAATTTCAGTTTCAAGTTTGACCTCAAGTCGAGGGGAATACCTGATGTGTAATGCCATATTAAATAAAACATAAAATCATGGATTATAGGATATCAAAATCAGAAGAGATAAGTTGATTAAACAGTAATGATGCTGAAAAAAAAAACACTTTGAAGGCATCTCTGATTGATAAATAAACAAAGGAAATAAAAGAAGTAAAGAACAGTCATACCTGACGAATAAAACGCAAGCTTCGGTTGTCTGGAACAAGACCACCGATGTGTGTCATGGAAAGGAAAGCGTATCCTCGAGTTGGCCTTAGAGGTGAATTTCGCTGGTCAATTTTAAATGTGTACTTCAAAGCTGAGAGCAGACCATGTCCAAGCTGCCTCCTAACTGAGTGAGAAGCCATTCGAGATGGATCAGTTAAGGTACGCCATGAGAGGTTATATGACAGATCGTGATTCCCAATGGATAATAGGCCAAGTGACAGGCCAAGTGCTTGCTCTTTATAAGAAGAAAACTTCAACCAATCTTGGGAAAGAAGAGATATTCGAGCTGTTAAAGGTGTGGCCAATGCTTTGAATTTGGGAACGAAGACTCCAGCACTAACTTCTGATGCTTGACCCCAGCCATAAGCCATGGAACCATCCCATAAATCTCCATAACCAAACAAATTTTTCAGCTTAAGAGATCCTTCGAGAGACCATGACCTAGCCTACAAAAGTGCTTCATGACATCAAAAATCAAATAGAGATGGAATTTTAAACCACTTCTACAAAATTAAACTTAAAGAAATGAGAATCTTGAGGTATCATTGGTTAAATTTCATGGTAGTATATCTGAGTCTCTTAATGCTCATTCTATACAAATCAACCATTGCCCTTTTTAGCTCAAATTAGTTGTTTTTAGCTTTCCACCAAGTGATTCAACATTTTACTTTTTATTGTATAAAAATAATTACTCAACATGACATGATTTTTTGAACAAGAGTTTACTAACATTTTGCTCGAGTTAAATGTTGTTGAACACCTGCAAGTATTTCCTTCTATCCCTTTTTAAAACTAGCCTATTTAACTTCGAGTTCACATAAAGTTCCACTACTTCCAATCACACTCTAGAATGTAGCTATATGAAAATTCTAGTTTCACATACCATTAACCCTCCATATCACATTGCTATTGATACACATAATTTACTATTCACATTGTCATATTCAACCGGGAATCAAGTGGCAAACTTGAGGCCCCGCACATATGGCATAAACTGAATTTCCACTATAACATTTACATACAAAATAAAGACTTAATCAAAGTGAGCATAGCCCTTAAATCAATAATCAAACAATAGTTACCTCGGGTTTGGAAAAAATCCCTACATCACCGGTGAGCGGGTTCTTGGCCTCGGAAACCTCTACCACAACATTGGCAGTTCCAGGGAGCTCGGGCGGGCCGGCGTCAAGTGTAATGTTCACAGAATCAAAAATATCAAGGCGCTGCAGCCGGGCGTTGGCAACACCCGCAGCCTGGAGCAGCTGTTGTACCGTGGTGGCGTTCTTGAGCAGTTCCTCGACCTCAGCCTCGATGATTGAGTCTTTGGTTTTCGTGTTGCCCTTAATCAAAACATCGTGCACTCTTACTGGGACTCGCTCCGTGGAAAGGCGCTTGAAAAGGGACTCCATACTGACCTGATCCGTACGCATTTGGGCCTCCGGAGTTATGGGTTCGGTTTCTTCGTCGTCTTCTTCTGATTCATCGTTGTCTTCTTCTTCGATCACTGCTTCGAAATCATCAAGGTCGTCGGGTACGGGGGTGGGATCACTGGGATTCGGGTTCCCAGGTTGGCCCATGTGGGGGTCGGACTCAGGTGAGACTGTCATGTGTCCCGTATTGAGAGAGAAAGATGGGGTGGCTGTGGGCCGTTGGCGGTGATAAGGGAGGGGAGTTTACTGTAAGCAGGACGCCGCCGCAACTGCGAATATCTGTGAGTCAAATTCACTTTACCATCCGTGATTTTTTTTAAAAATTATTTATTTGTACATTATCGTCCTCATTTTAGATCTCATTTGTTTAAAATTTATTTTTTTCTAAATTTATTTCAATTCGTATATTCTTTCAGTAAGATAATTTTGCGCATGTTTGAGATCTTTTTTTTTTCTCAAAATGTATTTTAGAATATCATTTTGATGTAGAATGTGCGGTTAAAAAATAAGAAATTTTTTTGAATTTGGACGTAATATTATTTTACTGAAAATTGTGTGAATAAAAATAAGATTAAAAATGTAATTTGAAAAAATAGAGACCAAACAAGGGCTAGGAATTTAAAGAAGAAAATTACTTTTTAACCACGTAATTTCAAAAAAAGAAAAATCAGTTCTCACAAATTGTATTCTCGAAAATCAATTTATTTTCTTTTGTTATTTTTGTTTCTCTGTTTAATTATTTTAAATGAAAATTTGTGAAAGTATCTATTACCCTTGTTAAAATTGGTCAAATTAAGATCATTTCAATGAATTTTGGTCAGCCGGTGATCTTTGGATGGAAACCATTGAAGTGCTCTTACAATGTCACATTTTTTAAAGGGAAGATTATGTAACTAAGAGGTTTAGTTTTATCGATTTCAAATATAAGAGATTATGTTTAAAATTTCAAATTTCAGATTTTTTAAATTTTATTTATAAATTAATTAATTAAATATATTGAGATCACAATTCCATATAATTTGGTCACAAATTTCATATAATTGATCACAAATCACAGTTTTCATATGTCACAAATTACTCTGCAGTCACGATTCAAAAATTTTATAGGTCACAATTTGTTTATCGGTCACAAATCAAAAAGTTATACTCCACAATTTATTCATCGGTCACAAATCTATCAAATTAATAAGCCACATATTATTCATTGGTCACAAATCACAAATTTTATATGTCACAATTTTTTTTACAGTCACAATTCAAAAAATTAATAGATCACAATTTGTTCATCACTCACAAATAAAAAATTGAAAAGTCACAATTTATTTATAGGTCACAAATCACAAATATTATAAGACAACTTATTAGCTAGTCACAAATTATCAAATTATCGGTCACAAATTAATAATTTTTTAGGTCAACACATTTTTTTTATCACAATTTATCTTTTTCATCTGTCGAATGTTGTTTATCGATCATAAAATAATCAATTTAATGATTACAAAGAACCAAATAATATGTGACCACCATTAACACTTGTGACTACTGCCTCAAAACTGTCACCGCAGCATGGCAACTGAAACCCAATCGTCGAAACAACAATCACCACCACTTAATGGACTAATTTTTTTAAAAAAAAATTAAATTAAATGCAGGAACTCAATTAAAAATAAAGTCAAAATTACATTGACCAAAATTAAGCCCATCTTCCCTCCAAATAGATCTGATTATCACTCACACTAGAAACCCCGCTTCTCTCACCCACACTAATTGTGTGCTACTATGTGTACTTCTCTACTCCCACAATCATCACTCACAATAAATCTAAATCATTCTACTATTGTTTTGAAAATTTTGAAGAAAACAAAGAACAACAATGGAAAGGGATTCTTCAAATGAAGAGAGGGATCGTGAGAATATGATCCCACAAAATGACGGAATAAAATCCCTAAATCATTCACCTGTTGCGGCAAAAAGAAAATGGGGAAAGAAAAGCGGTGTTGTTGCCGTTGCAAGGTACTGTTGCCAATCGTGTGCAGTGGTGTTGCTGTTGTTGGTCATCGGAGGCGGAGGAACCTTTGTTTTACTCATTGATGTCGAAGTCGCCAAATGAGGAGGGAGAGGGAGATAGAGAGAGAGAAGGAAGTGTGGATAGTGTTTGGGATTTTTAGGGTTTGGGTAGTATTAAATTTTGAATTAATATTTTATTTTTGTATAAATAAATTTTATATCTGATTTTTGAAATTGAATATTTAAAATTCTGGTATTATGTAATTTCCTCTTTTTTAAAGGCTCGAAACCTTCGTTGAAACTCTTCTTACAAAAATTATTTATTTATATAGTAAGCTCCTGTTTGAGCCACATTCTCATTCTTTTACTCATTTTCAACCGCACATTCTAGAATAAAATAATATTTTTCATCACATTAATAATTTTTCTTTATTTTTCAACCACATATTCACCATCACATCACAAAAATGCATTTTTTCCATTTTAATGTGCATCAAACACACAGTAAATATATGTTACTACTAATGCGGGACACGTTGAAACGCGATTTTTCAAAAATGTACTGACACAACATGTAATTGACGCGTTAATTAATTTTTTTTAAATTCTTCATTTATATAATATAAATTTGTTTTATAATTGTTATTAATTTTTCTTATCGAAATATTTTAAATAATAGTACATATTTATTATTTAATAATAACTTCGAGTTCAAAATATATGATATTTATGATAAATGAAAAATGACCATGGTAAAACAATCTAGAATTGTCAGCATTCGACACTTGTCAATTTTGGATACAGACATGTCATCTTAGTTGAATTGTCATTGCAATAGAGCTTTTCTAAATATGTTTATTTGTTTTCACTTCAACTGATTGAAAAAATTGCTTGTTTTAATTTTTTTTTTTACAGGTTTGCTGTTTTCAAACTATTTTCAGTTTTGCAAAATATTGAAAACATGTTTGGTTTAGTATTTCTGGGAATGCATTTCCAAAAATAATGATAAACTTATAGCATAAAACTCAAAATACATTTTTGACGTTTTGAGTGTTTATAGTAAAAATTATGGGACATTTGTAACATGGAAAACAAGTGTTTAAATGAAATTATGTTTCAAATTCAAAAACTAAATCCAATAAAATTTTAAAAAAAAATTATTTAAAAAAATTAAATATAAAATTCCTATCTACTTTTTCTCGACCCGTCCTTTCTCTTGCTTGTAAGAATGACAGAAGAGAGCAACCTGCCCGAACTAGCCTCTACTCCACAATGACAGAGAGAACCGATATATGACAAAGGCAATTGCTAGGTGCTTGATTACTCTGCTTCTAAAATTCTAAAAAATATAAATTATGAAAAAGTAAATTTATAAAAAAAAAATGTTAAAAAATAAAAATTGTTCAAATTCCTAATAATTATTTACATAAAAATTCTAAAAAATATATTTCAACAAACACAGAGGAAAACATTCTTAGTTCACATCTTTAGTTTTTGTTCTTATTTTATTTTTAAACTCAATTTATTATTTTCTTTTATTTTATTTTTACCTCTGTTGCGAAAATAAATATTTTGAGATTCATCAACTTTAAATCAAATTTAATGGAATAAAATTTCATAAAACAGTTTTTTTTTTCAAAAATTCAAACCAAAAGTGTTTTCTAATTTTCTATTTTGAGAAATAATTTTTCAGAACAATAAACCAAACGCCTTTTTAACAATTTTAAAACAGACTCCGAAAATTAAAAACTGAAAATGAACCCAAAACTAAAAATTGAAACACAAATTAAACGAGGCCTAAAAAATCACACAATTTCCAATTCTCTCTATGACAATATATAGAAAAGATGTATATTTGAATAAATAAAATCAAATGATTTGTAACATGTAAGTGTGATCAATTTAAATATTAATTCAGCAGGATTTTTTAAAAAAGAAAATCAATTTTAGAGTCTTTAATCTTTATCCCTTTTGTACCTCTATCCTCAACATTCATATATTGAGAAGGGAGAATTGTAGTTAGGTTACAAAATCTTTCACTTTGTCTTAGACTTGATCCAAATTTTTTAATTGTGTCATTCATGATATCAAATCTTTCAAAAAATTTACACATGGAGTCCAAATTGATGTAAACTATTAATTTGACATAGAATTTACATAAACCATAATTTGACTAATTTTAAAAGAATAAATTAACAACTTTACATTTTTCAACAAAAAATACATTTATAATACATTAATAATTAAATAAAACAAAAACAAAAACCACCCACCACCAGTGGCGGACCCAGGATCTCATCTCAACCCGAGCGGACGTTGACTCATCAACGTTGACCAGTCAACGTCGACCATCAGCGATCGTAAGAGCGATGTCGTTTATTAATATTTAATTATATAATATTAAAAATTATTGGGATCGTATGAGTCGATGGGGGGGCGTTTCCCTGGATCAGATACAAGATCATCTCCATTCAATTGAGATC